GTTGACGAGATAGAGGAGGATGATTAAGAGGGGCTTTTTTCATTTTTTTCTTATGTTTATGTACATTTGGACATATATTATTTATGTAACCATTGATGAATATATTTTAAAGTAAATGCATTTTATTTATATCATTATTTGATTGAATAAATTACTGTTGGACAACTATGTTCTTTTGTTAAACGCTTGAAATTGTATATTAAATATTATGATATTAGGTGTGGTAATATAAATACAAAAAAAGTATTTATTTATTTATTCCTTATGCTACAGTTTTCCATGGCTTTTCATCGGATATCGAAGTCTAACCGACGCTCAAGCTGCGTCACACAAAAACGACTGGCACGACATTTTTTCTACAGTTAACTCGTTGGCTATAAAAAAAAATGCATAAACGACGATTAACCAACTATTTTTACCTGTGTCAAAAAACCGATGGGTGCCACACTTTTTCGATAGATAATCCGTCGGTTATAAAAAAGGATGCATAAATGAAGTATGACCGACAGTTTTGTCTCTTTAAAAAATTGACGGGTGCGATAATTTTCTGACTTATATGTCGTCGCCATTGCCGAAGGACACCGTCGGTGATACGAACCGACGATTACCGATAACTCGATTTTTCTCGAAAAAAACTATGATATTAAAATTGTCGGATAACCGTCAGTAAATTTATATTGTTGAAATATCAGTTGGTTTATCGACAAGCATTTTAGCTACGAGCCTAAAATCGTCAGTAACATCAAAAACAACGGTGTTTTCCTTAAAATAACCGACAGATTTTGGCCGTCGGAAAAAACCTAAATTTATGTAGTGCGAGTCATTGGGTTTGTCTTGCCAATATGCTCACTTTGATTATAAGTTTAATGAAATCAAAGCTAGGATGGTCATGAATTAGAATGTTTCAGATATTTTGAGATTCAGACCTCATGATAAAAATTTGTTGACGGCGCATCAAGTCGCTTAATTCATAATTTGTTCAAAGCCTGGGGCCTCAAAATTTTACAGATAAGTAAACTACACAATTAAATAAATAATAAGAAAAGATCTCGTGCTTTGGACATCTAATATTTTGCCAAGCCTCTATTTGAATTGAGGGAATAATTAAAGAATGCAAATGAAGAAAAAAAAGAGACATGAAATGATTTTTGGGGCATTTAAAGTCAAGTTAACAGCTGCTATGGCATGTTAATCTCAAAATTAGCGCATTAAAAGTTCTCTGAATTTTCAGAAGCTGAAAAGACGTCAATTTTGACTGCTGCTTTCTGATAGCATATGTGTGAATGCATCATCTTAAAGATTCAAACAGGTGAGAAAAGTGAAATGCTTTTCTACAAATATTTATTTTTTATCTCATAACTTTCAACTGAAGTTTCCATTTTTTCTATGGGTATGAAAACTGGATACAGAGATGATGGAAGCCAGCCTAATTAGCATTCACCTTATTCCTTCTACTTCATCATTGTCCTCCGGAATGGGGGATGATGGTAGCTTGCCGTTTTTATTTATTTATTTATTTTTAATTATTATGCAGATTTTGGGGATGCTATGTGTTCTAAATAGAAATTTGATGAGTCGGTTTATAATTATGTTGTGACTGACTTGAGCTGACTTGTGAGTCTTTGATGAGTCCTCAAACACGCCACTTTGACTGGCTGACTGGCGGGTTGCGAGAAAATAATATGAAGCTCTAGTTGTTTTTTTGGTCGTTTCTTAAGGTCGTAGATGAAACAATTGCAGTTCACAGTTGGAATAGCATCGAACAACTATGGTTAATCCAAGGTAGGGTTAGATGATTTATACGTATCATTGTCATTCTTGTCTAAATGATTAAATCTTGTTCTCTAATTTTTTCTATATGTATTTAGTGATTAAAAATATACATATAGTAAATTACATTGGTTTAGTGTGTTTCGTTTAATTTTATAAGTTTAGATTTCATTACATTTTTAAATTAGCTTCCTAAATTCGACAAAGTAATATTGGCAGTTTATTAGGACCCTAAAATTGTGGGGCTTTAGTCTCAATTTTTGGTGCTTATTATTTAAGCCTAATAAGTATTGTGAGTCTTCTCTTTTATGATTATAAAATTATTTTGAAAGAGGAAATTTATTCTGATTGTCTCATTGTTATCCCTTGATGATCTTAGATCCATGTTGTTGGACTTGGAGATCTAACTCTCTTTGATTGACCAACTTTATCCTTGGGTTAGATTTAAACAATTTGATAAATCATGCCATGAGTTGTCCACTGGACTTATTTGTAAAAAGCTTGAGCCATTTTAATTATCTTTAATGAGTCTAATAACTTCTTACATTGGCTTAATTAGTTAATCCAATTTGACTTTAATTTGGTGTTGGTTGAAGTGACCTTTTCGTTCACCCTTTAAGCCTTGACTCTGACCTAGGCTCATGGTGCATTGGATGCTTACTGGCTTGATTCAATCCTCAATTTAACTAATAAATTCCTTGAGATGATTAACAAGTTGCTCTAGGGACATCTAATGACTTAATTTTCTTCTGAGCACATCCAATTTTGATTAAATTAGTCAATGTGGATTGGACCATTAGGTCATGAAATAGGCCCGTAGACTTTATGTCTAGTCCCTCACCCCTCCCCCCTTGTATTAATTAACATATAGTTTGCTCTTTGGTTGACGTAGTCAACATTAAGTGATTCGTTGGATTCCCAAAAAAAAAAAAAACAAAAAAAAAAGAAAACAAACAATCCAAAAAAACAACGAAGCCAATGCAAGCATACAAGTATGCAAGAAAAACATGAAACAAGCCAAATCTAAAATAATAAAAAGTCGGTGTCATTGGGTCTGTGACATATATTAGAAAAGAAAAAGATGGTTAGGCACTCTGGTTCTAATTCTATACATAAATGAGATTTAGAATTAATGGACGAGACACAAGTAAGCAACTCCTAGTCTCCATCACTTGGTTCCGTCTACATGGTGCCTCTGAACCTAAAAGTACATAGGAAAAAAAATAAAAGACTTGATTTGCATGATAACAATGTTAGCGAGAAAGCTAACAAACATGCAACACATATGAGTCGTGTATGGTGGAAGGAGCTAAGCAACACCTATAGTGTCCATAATCATTACATTGCTCCTCCCCGTTACATGTGCAATGTGTATTTTAGGCATGACTCTCTGCAAGAAGGCCAACCTAATATACTAATATTCATATAAAAACAATAAGCAGGAAGTACACCAAAAACACAAAAGGTGATGCCTAAATAGGGCAACCAAACTGACAAAGAACTATAGTCATGACATAAGAAAATGCTACATAACGTCCTAACTCCTAGCCTAGTACACAATCTAACAAGAATGTGTCCTAACCAGCATCTTAGTGCTCGGTATAAGTCTCCGGGTTTATATGACTTTGACAGGGTCACCACACCGACCTCGTCCTAAAGATTTAAGGGATATAAAGCATGTCTCTGAAGATGGATTTTGAAATGGGTTGACCTTATATTTGACCTGTCTTGCTACATGCATGATTTTAAAATTATGGTGGATGTAAAAAATAAAAAAATATATTTTTTTTAACTTTTAAAATAAGGTTCGTTAAAGACAGACACGTAACATACAAAGTGGCACATGTTAGATCCCTTGGACCATTAGCATGGTCATACTTTTGCCAATCCTAATGCTTTAACTTGTATTGCTCATCGGGACTGATTCGACAAGCAATGCTCTTTAATACATCGCAACCAACACGGGGTCACTCGCCTATCGAGTCTGGCTCATTATCCATGCACACATACAAATGAAGCTCTCATAACAGTAGGAAATGATTTGGCTAGAAAAGAAAATACATTCACAAAGGATTCAGCCAGAATTTCTTTCCTAACAAAGAGCTTCCTTTAGAAAATCAACAACACAAATCTAGCATTCTCTATAAGGGTTGGCTAGGAAAAAAAATGCAAAGGACTATAGGGAATCTCACTGCCTTGGTGGTTAATCAACGTCACAAGCTTGTGTCCCAGATGCAACTCTCATAAAAGTAGGAGAGAAGCTCATACAAGTCCTTCCCTAAAGTAATGAAGAAGCTCTCTTCATCGGAGAGATCATCAGAAAAGTTCACTGGAGTTTTCCTTCTCCAAGCTAGGATGATGCTCTCCTTGCCGTGCTTCTTGGAAAGTTAGTCGGAGAAGGAAGAAGTCACCAGAGAAGAAGGAGAAAGGTGAAGACGAAGACGTTGGAAGATGGCCAACTTCCTTGGCTTCTCTCCTTGAGGAAAGTGAGGAGTCTTCCTCTCTTACTCCCTCCAAGAAGCTTTATCCAATGGGAAGATGAAGCTTCCCCTTCTTTCTCTAAGCTCTCAAGTCTCCAAGAGCACCCTCAAGACAAACCTCAAAATCTGAAGTGAAGGGGGGATTAAATGTGGATGATGTATGATGAGAGGGAAATCAACTCAAGCCAAGCATAGACCAACCCAACTAAAAATTTCCCTCATATTTTACCAAAAGTGGCTCATAATGCCACATAAAAGTTTCCAAAAGAGGTATCATGAGCCTCTTTTTACCTCCCCCATGCATATCTTCACATTAGCCAAAGATATCCCACTTTTTGGCTACATGTGGGGGTGCATCGAGGTCAAATCGGCTCCAAAAATGAGAAAAATGTGTTGTGGAAGGGGACCAATGCCTAGATGTTGCGACCCCAGTGCTCAGGCGCCTAGTGTGGCACCTAGTTTCCAGTCCCTCGGGAAAATAACTATATTTTTAGTTGTTTGGGCTCCTAAGCGCTAGGCTTTCCTCCTTCGGGTTTTAAGCCACATAGAGGTTGTTTTGGGCACCTAGGTGTCAGTCTAACCCTGAATATGCTTTTTTCGTCAGAAACGTCCGATAAAGAGTTATCTCGATCTGAAAGCTATGGGAGACCCCATATTAGTATATTATGATCCCCTAACTTCAAAAATGAGTATTTTGCTCAATCATTAATTAAAGAATCTATGGTCAATGAGCATTTTGAACTATGACGCGGGTAATGAGTTCCAAACCCTAATTTATCTATAATGTGCGTAGGAGGGCTCGGTGACTTCCTTTGACCCCGGATAGGTTCCAAATGGATATAGAGAGACCCCTAAATACTATAATGGACACCAAATATGTCAAACGTCCTAGGTGAGTCTGTCTAACTGTGGGTTCTCCCTGATGGGGTTAAATCATCGCAAACGCTAGTTTCGTGTCCCAAACACGTATTAGAGGTCTCAGATGGGTGTCTTGAGCTACATTATGCTACGAGTGAGCAATGAATCGTCTCAAGACAACCATGTGATACCCTACACACATGACATCAAAAATTGATGCCAATACACATCTCAAAGATAGGGTAACAATGCAACTCGCATATGCTCATGCAGCTCCCTACTCCAGTCCCATATGGCCCATTGACGCGTCCAACTATGGCTTACATGGTACGCTTGTGCAACTCCTAACTCCATCCTCTGCAGCCCATGGATGTCGTCATAGCTCACAACTATGACCTATATGACCTACGTGGTCACAACTCCCACAATTTTCTGCTATTGCCTCTATGACCAACTGATGCTCTTGAAGCAACAATCTACGACCCAAGTGATTAACTACTGTCACAGTTATCAGTTACAACTTCTACGATAAGTTGGATCTACAACCACAATCTACAACACTCACAATGAACTACTACCTTCGCGACAATCGATTATAACTATTGCAGTCTGTCGTCACTAAGAACTACAACTAGATTATGAATATATAATTTTATAATTCCATATTTTCTAATTCATAAGAAGAATTGAATTGTTTACTCATCATTCAGAGTGGATAATTTCAACTGGGCTTGACCTCATGATCTTTTCCTATTTTAATGATTTTTCACGTAAAATGTACAGGTGTCTCCTCCAGCTTATTTATATTTAGTTACCTAAGTTATCTGTTTATTTTTCATTCAATATTAAGATAATAAATAATTATTATTCTACTGCCATTATTCTTCCAGCACACTTTACTATTCATTTTTTTACCTCTAGTACTTTTTCGATCAAATGCAATTTCTTCGAGTCAGCATACATATGCTTCTTCGGTGACTCGTGATTGACCGAATAAACATCTAAACATATCAAATTTGAGCATATCATGATCCGACTCATCAGCCCATGCCTCGACTCACTAAAGTGCTATCAATATAAAGAAGAAAAAAGAATGAATGTAGAGTGCAACAAAAAGTTATATTTAAAATCCTTAATAATTATATCTCTATATTCTTATATTAATTGAGCCTCCACATATTGTTTTTTGATAATATATTATAATAATATTTCAATTGGAATCATTCATCCTTTCACAATTAATTAGTCAACCTCTGAGCTGAAGTTCAAACTAAATTAATTAGTCAACAGAAGCTCAACTCAAAATTAATTCAGAATTTCATTTACACCCACGAATATTCTTTTTTGAAAAAGTAAAGAAAGGGTCACGCACATACCCACTCAATTCCTATGTAATTACATTAAGCATCTAAATTTTAATTTAAAAAAAAATTACATAAATAGCACTCAAAAATTACTTATTAACATATTTCACACCCAAACGTTCATATTTATAAAACAAGCACTTTTTTTCTCACTTCCCTTAATATTGAGAGGCGCCTATCTGAATATTACAGTTAGGAAACGGTGGCTACTCGTCTCCCATGACTTCTCTCCTGGTTCTTAAATCCGCGAAAAATGCACAAAAATCTTGAGCGCTGGAAGCAGTGAAAATTCTAGGAAAAATCTAGTTTATTGGCGATTCGTCTTCTCCTATCAAGGACTTCATTATAGATGGGTGGCTTCTGAAGGTGTTCTTATCGGGGTTTAGCCGATGGGTAACTGCTTCCAATTTCTTTCGACATTGAGAAGAACTCACAGCTCTCACAATACTTCCGGTTAATCCTTTCTCTACCTTTCTGTACCTCTCTCCATTGGTTGCTGTCTTTACCTTTTTTTGGAAGCTTTCTTAACTTTAATGGCATTTTTATTTCTTTACTGGTGCTTGAATGTTTAGCAACTAGAATTAGGTTAGTCATGCTTGAAAGCTTGGTAAATCTTGGAGTTTTATGGCTTAATTAATGTAGAAGCTGCAAACCCTAGGCAGGAAAGGAAAGTAATAAGATCTGGAATGTGCAAACATTTTTGCTTAGGTGGATATCTTTGTAGTTAATGTGTTTAGGGTTAGCTTCAAAAGCTATTTTATTCCACAATTCATTTTATTGGATTTTTATTTATAGACCAAACGGGCTTATTTTTAGGCCGTGTGTGAGTTTGAGTGCTTTCTGATGAGAAAAAAAGTGCTTCTTTTAAAGTGCAATCTTTGTTGTAAGATCAGCAGATCCTTAAAAAAGAGTGATACCACTTTGTTTTTTAATTTTAATATCATTATTATTATTATTGTTTTTACTTTACATGCTTATGAATTTGAGGTGCTCATGACTTGGGAAGACAATTGCTGTAATTTGAGATCACTTTTTAAGTAACAAGCTGCATAGTTGAATACAACACCTCCTATAACTAACTCAGCCTATATATACACCCTTTACTGGTGTATCAGTTTATATACTAAAAGATAGGAATATATTTCCTTTTGCTTGCCAACTCCTGTATGTTTAAAACACCGCTTCTACCTCTGCTGTCTTCCTACATTAAGAAGTGCGACATGTCATTTAATCCATGTTGTCAATAATTGCTTATATGTTCTGTTTTCTAGTTCGTGTGTTTGTGTATTCGAGTTGCCAATATATGCTAAAGGGATCCAGAATTTTGTTGCTCATATTGCTAATTTTCTTCATGGCAATGCTGCTAAAAGAATTTTAGGACCATTTTTTATGAACTCCAGATTTAGCTGATGACTAAATGGTTCAATATCTTATGTTCTTCCATTTCTTATGTTATTTATGAGTTATTTTGAGTTAAAAGATTTAGATTGCATATGTTTCAGGGTTACTTTTCATATATTGTTTAGTGGTGGAGCATAATTTTTTTTCCTGTACTTAGAGAAATCGCTAGACAGATTTAATCAAGGCATGGGTTGTTTCACTAAGGTGTTTTTGTGACATTTGTCATATTTTTTAGTTTCTATAGTTTTCTTTATAAAGAGGAGGAACTGTCTTTATCTTGCAGTAAAGGAATATTCCTTACAATCAAATTTTAGTGTAGTGAAATTTGCGTTGCAGCAATGTTAAAAGAGCCATCATTTGGGTTAACTTGTAAAAAAATTTTGTGTTTTTTGTTTGTTTCTTGATCCTCTTTTCTATTTTCTTTTCTTTTTTTCACTCTACTGATTGAATTAGGTTTCACTTTTTTTTCCACAACGTATTTCTCATTAAGTATCTGAATTTTATGTTTTAAAGTTGCAAGCAATTGATATTTTGAAGTCACATCTTCAAATTCAAAAGTTTATCATTATCAAATGATAAACAACTTATAATTATGAAATCTTGAGCAAATGGCGTATTATCAGATCTTTTAAATCTCATGTCGCAGGCCAATCAAAACACAAGTCAATTTCATCAACAATCCCTTCCACCTTAATCGGTTCAACTCCTTCAAACCTCACTGCACCTTCATATGAAGAAATTCGTTCTTTTGACACTCTTCCTACTCCACGAACTGAGGGCGAGATCTTAGCATCTTCAAATTTGAAGAACTTCACATTCAATGAATTAAAAAATGCAACCAGGAATTTTCGCCCCGATAGTCTTCTCGGGGAAGGAGGATTTGGTTATGTCTATAAAGGTTGGATTGATGAACAAAGTTTGACAGCATCGAAACCTGGAGTTGGTATGATTGTTGCTGTTAAAAAGCTTAAACCAGAGGGCTTTCAGGGCCACAAAGAATGGCTAGTATGATTCTTAACTTAATTTTTGTCAATTTTTTCTCTAGCTTTGATGGTTATTTTATGTCTGATGAATGCAGACTGAGGTTGATTATCTTGGACGGCTTCGCCACCCAAATCTGGTTAAGCTAATTGGATACTGTTCGGAAGGTGATGACAGGTTGTTGGTCTATGAATTCATGCCCAAAGGAAGCCTAGAAAATCATCTTTTTAGAAGTAAGTGGTAACTAATATCTTGCAAATTAATATCTTGATAAAGGGGATTGACGCAGAAGCCAAGGACCCGCAGTTTTTTGCGAGTACTGTGATCACGAGACGGTTCAAGCAAGAATCCAGTCCCGTCATACTTGGCTTACGGGATTTTCTCAACCTATTATCAATTCAACTGGATTTTTTTTTTATATTTTTGCATTATTTCCTTTTCTTTCTTCTAATTAAGGTTCAGTTTAATTATTAGTATAAATGTCTTATGTAAAAGCTGAGTTGGTAGACTTTTGGTTATTATTATGTTATTTGGAGCTTTTTTCTCCTAATTTTTTCTATTAGAGTGTCGTGTTTTTGGATTTTTTTCAGGCAGCGTGTCTGTTGTATGATAGGATCAAAGTGGTGATATCTCTCAAATGCTCGGAGGCCTCTTTCATCATTTAATTTGCTGCGTACTGCTGTTTGACAGCTTCCGATTCGCTTTCATCTAGCCCTATTTGTTGGATTTCAACCGACAAACACCCTCTCATTTTCTTTATCTATCCAACAACTTACATACCCCTTTATTGTGTTCTTTTACACATTCTAGTTACCCTAGAACGGTATAGTTTGGTATCAGAGCTCTGCAAACTAAAAATTACGAGGATTTGTTTTCTTGCCCCAAATCCAAAATTGCCAAAAAAAATCTTCACCATACCCAAATCATTCATATGTAATACCTAGTCTTAAGCCTAAAATTTTTAAAACTACTCTATTTCCACAAAAATTTCTCCCAAAACATCTACACCAAAACATAAGCCCTCGACCAACCTTGATTTTCAATCCTACATCCAACAGAACCTAATATAGAGAAAATGATGCTATGCCGCTAAGAAGAAACCCTCAGGGAGTTGCCTAGAAATTTACTATGGAGGATATACAATGGAAAATATTCCAACTGCAGTAGAGGCTTATCAACTTCAAGAGAAAACAATCAGATGAGGTCACCCGTAGCCACAATGGTGACTGCTAGATCAAGGGGAGGAAATGAATCCCTTACTTTAGAAAGTTTCCAATGAAGAAGAAAGGATGCCACGTGGATTTGACATTGAATATTAGAGGGGAAGCAAGGATGATTGGCGGTCGCATGGATATAGATGTGTTTATTGAGTGGCTTCAGATAGTGGAATGAGTCTTTGAGTATAAGGATATTCCATCCGACAAAATGGTCAACCTAGCTGCTATTAAGCTAAAGAATTTTTATTTATTTATTTTTTATTTATTTCTTAATGGTGGGAGAACCTGAAGCATCTTCAATCACAGGAAGAGAGGAGTAAAATTCTCTATTTGGTTCAATATAAAATGAGAAATATAGCGCAAATAGATGTCAACATATTACAAACATGATATGTTCTTGAGCTTCATCACTAATAGTAGTAAGATATCTTGGTAGGGGAGCACAACTCTGAGTTTGAGAAGCTTATCTTGAAATATGGGCTATTGGAGCCCGAGGAGACGGCCCTAGCTCCTGTTGATTGACAACGTAGTATAGTTACAATCCTATTAGACATTACATGATGCTCATGCCCTAGTTTCAAAAGTGAAAAATAATATTATCGGGTGATTGCCACTCCTTACAATCAGAGTTCAACCCAAGTCAAGCAACAAAAGCGCACTAAACCGAGCTTCCAAGCCTATCCCGCTTGAGTAGAAAAAAATTTAGAGTGAAGGACTGGTGAAACTAACCAGTACTTTCAAATCAGTCTCAGACAGTAAGTGCGTCAAGCGCCATAGTTTTGGGAGCAAAGCATTATATTGCCCTAACAAAAGTATGTCTCTTTTATTGAGCATAGAGCAGTTGAAGAAATAGATGATAACAAGAGAAAATGACAATGTTAGAGATGAGTCTCAATTTTCTTTGGATGAGGAATGTTGGTGATTCAAGATGAGCCTAAGCAAAGAAATCACAATATGATTAACATTGATTATCATAGAAAATATTAAGTTCGAGTAGCAGATGCTTGAAAAAGGATAAACCCCTCTTGAAGGAGTTGTTAGATATCATGATTGATAATTTTTCTTCTGGGTGGCTGTCACTGATGATAGTCCAAAATGTGATAAAGTTCATTCCAGGATTGATTTCTCCAGACATTCCTTTTTATCAAATATGCTCACCAAGTACAAGGAGCATGTCATTCACGTTGCAGATTTAATGACTCAAGACTTGGTTCGTGAGAGTATTAGCCTAGATGCAATTCCTGTTCTGGTTGTGCCAAAAAAGGATGACTGTTTATTCTATCAGGACAATCTTTGGAATGATGAGTGTGTTTTAGAGCTGTTTGGAGTGAGCATGAGCGTAAATTTTATAGTAGAGTTGCCTCAGACACAAAATGATAATGACTATTTTAATTGTGGTAGATCAATTTCAGAGGCTTCATGGGATGAATACGAAGCTCCTCCTATCTGGGGAGAATGACGCGACAACCAGGGATCCATAGAACCACAAATTTTTGTGATTATTGTGATCGCGAGATGGGTCTGATGGGAATTCTATCCCGTTATGCTTCCCTTACAAGACTTTTTCGCTCTATTATCAAGTCACTTTAATTTTTTACTTTTTCTGCATTTTTTTAATTTCTTTTCTTCTAATTAGGATTTAGTTTAATTATTAGTATAAATATCATATGTAAAAGCTTAGCTGATTTTTTTTTTGTTAAGCTATCTAGAGATGTTTTTTTTTTTTAAATTTTCTATTGGAGTGCTTTATCTTTGAATTCTTTTGATTACGTGTCTGTAGTTTGATAGGATCAAAGTTGCGGACATTCTAAGGCCTTATTCATCGTCCAGTTTGCTGCCAATGGTTGTTTGATAGTAGAAAATAGTCATTTTTCACTTTTGATTCGTTGTCATCCATCCATTCCTGTCGGATTTCAACTGACATTCATCCTCCCGCTTTCCTTACCTATCCAACAACATATCTACCCCTTTCTTATGTTATCTGACACCTTCTAGGAGCCATGGAACGATATCAGGGATGTTTTTCAGTTTGCCATGAAAGCATCCTTTTCATTTAGAAAAACCTAGTGCTTTTATTTTCTATTTGATTGTTAATCATTACCAGTATATTCTAATGCATACATTTATAATTACCTATGATAATATGAAATTAAATGAAACATGTTTAACCCTTATTATTTAGAAAAAAAATATTATTTGACCAATAAGTGGAAGTAGGTAAGTTTATGGCGACCTTTTGTGTCAAGCTAGATACAAAACTGGACTAAATTTATTTTGGTTTTTTATTTTTATGTTTTGTATGGTTTTGCAAATTTCATTTCATATAGCGAAGTCTTGACCTAATTTGGATCTTACTAATTATCTTTCCAGGAAATAGAGAATTTGTCCAAGAAATAGCAGCACAAAAATTTCAGGAAGACCTAATAGCTTCCACTTGTTGAAAAAAGCTTTTATAAATTCAATATGTAAATGTATTTTTTTTCCTTTCTTGCAATGATGATTCCTTCACAAATAGCACGATCAGGTTGTTTTTGGCATGCTCGTACTTTTTTAATTTTAGTAATAAATTTTTGAAAGCTCTCCTTGGTTGTTTTAGACCATATAAAGATTTATTAGTTTGTAGACTTTACTATCAGTGGTTTCTTATCCTGATTGTATGGTTAAGTAGACTTTATCTTCATTATATCTACTTGGGAAGACATTTTTATATCAAGTTAGTGTAAGGGGCGGGCTAAATAAGTAACCGGAGAGTGAATGACTCTTAAGTGAATTAATTTTAGCAAGTGGTGTAATTTCCTTGTAACCAATTCAGTAAAATTGAGTAAACCTTTTCGCAATCAGTTTGACCTTATATTTTTCAATGCACACATCAGCCTTTTATTTACTACTGAAGATTACTTTGCACCTACTCGTTCCCTTTGTTAGAGCCAAGAGATTCCATGTGCCATATCTTTTCAATCCCCGTATCTCATCATGAACAACATCTTGTCATTTATATGTTTTCAAGGCTTCATAAATATTGTTGGGAATGACAAAGCTAGATAAATTTATTATAAAAGCATGTCCTATGGAGATTAGTTGTCATAGCGGATATACTCATTTATTGGTTATCTTTGTAATGTTTGTATGATCCTTGCACATTCTCTATGGCAACTAAATGCTATCACAATGAGGGATATTCAGGGTTTTGATTAGATGTGTGATATTTATATTACCTTTGTTTGTTGATAATAATTTTGTATCTTGCTCATTGTTTGTGATCTTGGGATTTTTTAATGTGGTCAGGAAGATGAGTTTTGGGTACATCAAGGAGAAATGTAGGCTCAAAAAGTATGACATATATTCTAAAAAACTCATTCAATTAAAATGTTAGAATTCTTTCCTTAAAACTAAGTTTTGAGAACGAAGGGTTGATTAAAAAAAAAGAGGTTATGTTCATAGTGTTTTTGCTTTTTCTTAGTCTTAGGATAATAATATTTATACCATTGTTAGTTAGGCGAGCAACTAATAAATATATATCTTATGGCTTTTGGGTTGAGTTTGTTCTATTTATGTAGTGGTACGTGAACAAAGACAAAGCATCAAATGACTTTTAAGGGAATAGTGGATATGGGTCCATTTGTGGGGTAGAATTGAACAAGGACTTGAAGTAAGAATTTGTATCTTATTATTCTTGATGGCATGCAATTAACGAGCTATACGAAAATCACTACAATCTTTCCTTAATAATATTTTGGAATATTATTAGTGATTACAATATATCTAATAACTTCTAGAGAATACCTATTTTTTCATGGGATAATTTCATGTAATTTAAGTAGTTCATAAGTTTGAAATGTTTTTTTTTTCTATTGCTAGTCTTGAGAACTTAAATTTTCATTTTACACAGGTTTTATATGCGTGGATAAAGTTTTCTCAATAGTGTGACAAGTTTTAGAGTTATCTTTTATCAAGAAATTTTTATTAAGGAGAATAATTAACAGTTTAGGATATAAGCCATGCAATTCCCGAGATATTGATACCCTTGAGATAGGTTTCAAATATCACTATGAATGTGGAAATAGGTTCAAGAATTTATACGGATAGTTTGGACATACTTTCTTGATTTTTTTTTTTTTTATAGTTGACATTTGTGGCTCTTAAGTAGCTCAAGGTTTTATTTACAAAGATGGGAATAATTTTTTGAGATACATAAAATTTGGATTGCTGAGATGGAGGTGTCGCGATATGTTTGCACTTTCTTTGTGAAAGGATGCATATTTTGGGGTTGTTTGGTTTGCTGAAAAAATAATGAATTATAAAATAAATATAATACCGGGGTAAAATATTGTATTTGAAATACTTTAACGTTGTTTGGTTCAGTGCAAAAATAAATGAAGCACTTCAAATTTTTTCTTGTTTGGTTTGAAGTAAAATAATGTATTGGACAATGGCGGCAGAGGCAAGTGTGTTGTTGTAGGCAGCGGAGGTGGGTATTTGAGGTAGTTGACGACAATGGTATTCGGTGGTGGGTGGTGTTCGAGGCTGGTGGTAGCAGTTGTCGGCGTCGGCCGGGCCTGGGGGGCAGGCACTGGTGGCCTGCCGACGATGCCTGACACTAATCGCCGGTGTGCAGCGGCGGTTGTTGGCAGACTGCTTGTAGTTAATTTAGATAATATTTTGCTCAATTTGAGTAAGTAAAAAGTTGTTATCAGTGACTCACTACTTACAAAATTATGACTAAAGATCTAAGATGCACTAAACATTTTCTTAGTTTTTTTTGGTGCAATTTCCTTGCAATGAGAAAGGGGTGCCTCCTTTAGGAAAATTTGCCATCGATCTCCTTGAGTAAACTAGTCTTCTAATTTGTAAACTAGCTAACAACCTAGGTTCTTCTAGTTTGTAAACTAGCTAACAACCTAGGCGTAGCTAGGTCATGTTTGACGATGGAGCAAAATGATACGTGCCGTAGAGTATGGTGCTAATCAACTCCATTTGTATGGCGGTGAGACACATCAAAAGAGCGAGCTATTTGTGCATGCATGAGAAATAGTGTATAGCGCATTACCCCAATGACTTTCACTAAGTTTATTTTTTAGATTTAATATGAAAAAAAAATTATAACATAATTAGGAAGATAAAATTTAATTTTTATATTTTTGTATATCTAATATCTAAAATTTAAAATTCTTTTGATTAGCACATAAAAAAGATTAATACTAATTTTTATAAGGTTCAATACAACTTTTTCTTGAATATGTTTTAATTTGACTAAGACACAAAATCTTATATATCTGAATATTAAACTTTTAGTGTTGAATATATAAATATATAAGAATTGTATGGTATGTATATAAATTTCACAATAAACACACACTCTTACGCTCACAAACATACCTACTTACCTACTTACATGTGTATATATATGGAGCAAAAATTTGCTTTAATTGTCCTTTGCATTATTGTGAGCTCCATTCATTTGATGAGGATGATGATGAAGATTATGTTTTTTGTGATTATAATGATGTTGAAGAAATAAATTATATCTGTTTTACTTATGAAAAGGAAGCTTATGAAAATATTAGACATATAAAAAATTATAATATTTTAAATTTTAAGTAATTGAGATATAGAGCACTTAAATTTAAATATTATTTATGATATTTCTATTATCATATCATTTCATCTTTTGATTTAATATTCTTTCATATTTACTTAAAAATTTTAATAATTTTTAAATATTCTGTTTATATTTAAAATGGCCATGCGTCATGCGGTGTGGCTCTATAGAGACCTTTTTATTATGGGGTGCCATTCATAATTGACAAGTATGATATACATCATTTGATGGTCCATTTTTAGCATTGTAGATTGTTTGAAAAATTAATTTATCTGTTGATTTTGCAACATGTATTCTCTTTTATTTTAACTGTTGTTATGCAATATATGCAAAACCAAAATAGAAGTTTTGGGAAGGTCTTTTTTGCATTCTTTAAAACATCTTATATGTTAATAGGAAAGGACTTAGCATATGCAGGCTGGACACTTGAGTATTCAAATTTTCTCTATTGTCAACTATATTGAATGACAAAGTCAAGTTTTTGCTATTGTGTTTTTTGGGAGGTAATCTAGTTACCTAAAGATGTAAAAAGCAAACATTTTATGACTTGATGTTGAATATAGAGTCATGATTCATTCTCATATGAAATGATGTGGGTAAAGATCCTCATAGAAGAGTTTGATTTTTCAGTAACTAAGCTTGTGATTTTACAGTGATAAACATGCAATCCTATACATTGCGAACATTCTAATATTTCATTAAAGGACCAAATATATTGAAGTTGTTGAGATTTGTATCTTATTTTGAGGGATCTAATTGTAAATAGGAAATATAGAAGAAGTCTAGGGGTTATTTGTAAAAGGATTATAAGGCTCTATAGAAGCCCAACTCATGAATGAAGGAAAAAAATGCTTTATCAAATTAAACTTTTCTTTAGAAGCTGATTGTCATCTCATGTGAGATGCTGCGTTCTCCAAGAATATTGCTATTCCTTAAGTTTTTTAGTTTAAAATAAGTGGTGGATATTTTTATCAAAGCTCCGAGTCATCCATTATTTTTTTTTTCCTTATATATGTATATTCCCCTTTATTTGTTTGATTTCAAATATGTTGTAATTGCACCATTTATATGTCATTTTATTTTTGAAATTAGGGAGTGCAGAGCCATTATCATGGGGTATAAGAGTCAAAGTTGCACTGGGAGCTGCGAGAGGACTCTCTTTTTTACATAATTCTGAATCACAAGTCATTTATCGAGATGTGAAAGCTTCGAATATTCTCCTTGATTCTGTATGCTTTGAAGCCATTGTTCAAATTCTTTTACCACAAAATTTTCTCCTTGATTCAGTATGATGATTTGTCTACTTAAATTCAGGAATATAATCCGAAGCTTTCTGACTTTGGCTTGGCAAAAGCCGGACCGACGGGGGATAGGACTCATGTCTCCACACAAGTGATGGGCACACAAGGATATGCGGCTCCGGAATATATTGCAACAGGTTATGTTTACTGTGTGGAAAGTATATACTGCACTTTATGTTATCTTGACCATCGATCATAACATTTATGTCAAAATCTATGAAATGAATCTATACTTAATCTTGGTTAGCATTTGAGCATTCCCTAATGCCAACGGAAAAAGTCCTAACTTGAGTGGGAGCGAGAAATGGCATGAGCTTTCTATCTTGTTTCTTGGGAATAACGTCTATATTTTATCCAATGATGGCAAGAAGTAGACAAAAATTCGGCAAAATTCACTCATAATGAGATTGAATATGATAGAATTGAGAATACTAATGTATATATATGCTGACCGTAGATTAAGTAGAAATTATATGAAACATTTAGAAGTAACACCTACAGAAGATGAGAAAATTGAAAATTAAGGGTATGCATGTCCATGTGGAGTGATAAGGAAGAAGAGTGTTAGCCTTTAATTCAAGTATGTACTGTCTGACACATGCCACCTACAGAAGATGAGAAAATTGAAAATTAAGGGTTTGTATGTCCATGTGGAATGATAAGGAAGAAAAGTGTTAGCCTTTAATTCAAGTATGACGGTATAGATTCAACACATATCTTACATGTGCCAAACACATAGTCAATGCGATTGATTAAAAAATAATAAATTATTATTGTGTTTTGGATTAAGTGAAATAATGACTGTAAGAATGGTGAACCACCAAATAGCCAAAAGACTAATAAAAGTTTTCTAATTTTGTTTAATAATCCATTTGTTTATATTTTCTTTCTGTGATGTTATTTTTTTTCCTTATATAAAAACATATTATTGTATTATTTGGATTGCATGAATTTTATAAATAAGTATACTGTGTGTCTGATGTTCATGTTCTACGTTTTCAATCTTTATGAGAAATGAAGCACAATTTATAAACCCAGTCTCCAATACTTGGGGTGCTTCTGGTGATGATGGAGATGTTAGACTTTTGCAATAATGTACAATCAATATTGATTTGTTCTGAATAGTTCCTCCTCATCCTAAACCTTCTCTCTCTTACAAAACTCAAAACCTTAGCAGGCAGGCTAACAGTAAGGGCTGATGTCTATAGCTTTGGGGTGGTTCTACTAGAACTGCTTTCAGGACGCCGTGCCGTCGATAAGAACAAAGTCAGCACGGAACAGATTCTAGTGGACTGGGCGAAACCGTTCCTCGGCGACAAACGAAAGCTGTTCAGAATCATGGACACGAGATTGGAAGGCCAATATGCTAAGAAAGGCGCATTCACCGTAGCAAATCTCGCTTTGCAGTGCATCAGCATGGATTCAAAGCAGCGTCCGCAGATGCGCGATGTTCTCGCCGTGTTAGATACTCTTCAAAGTGCGAAAGATGGAACGAATTCTCTGCAAAAAGAACAAAGGGATATTGCTGTGAAGTTGAACATGAAGCCTCGAGCTTCGCCTCGACGACGTAGAGCAACCAATTCTGTAGCTCTGCCATCTCAGATATGATCTTACTTATTTGATAGTCGGGTGAATTGTTTAAATAGTCTCCTGATTGTTTATATGTGTCATTTTAATCTGAATCAATAGGAGTGTCAAATTAATTCTCAAATTTTTAAAATTGAGGTTGAAATAATCCTCACCCTTGTTAAAAGAGTCCGGGGGTTAAATTGACTTTTTTTTTTAGATTCTGGGACTAAAATGACCCCTTATAAAGAGTTGAGGATTATTTTGACATTTTTCTCTTTAATATTCTGATGTAGATTGTGTTTTTAAATGAATCAATTTTGTAGTAATTGTCAGCAGCTTGTATCCACTTACTGAAAATGCGGCTATGAATTTGGTGCACTGTTCGGCTGAGTAGCATATTTAATCATTAGATTTGGTGTTTTTGGTTGTACCGTTTGTTTGTATCAACTATAAAATGCAGAGCTGCTAAAATGAGGCGTTTTAGGCCTTAGAGCTGCTATTTGACTATTTCTATGTAACCGAATGATTTTCTCTAGTGTGAAGTGTAAGGGTTGTATGATATGTATGTAAATCCTACATTAGAAGAATGTAACCGAGTGAATTAAAAAAGAATTTTTTTAAGTAATGAAAGTGTGCTACAAGTCCCACAATGGCTTGGTGAGATAATAAATATTTGATAAAAAAAATATTATATATGAAAAATCTACATTACATTTATTTTCAATTAAATTTAATATTTTAGTCTATCATAACACAAAATTATATCTTAAAAATTTTAGTTATAATACATGTATGTTAAGACTTATCTATCAAAATTTGAACAAATAGGCTGAATGTCTTTTCCTTTACTTTCATTCCAATAAATAATCGTCTGTACAATCTATTTTAGATACGTAATATTCTATATAAACTATTCAAGGTAACTTAATTAATATATATGCCTAATTTAAAAATTCAGCTAAAAGGAAAGATTTTATGTCATCATAATATTTCCTTCTTTGCAGTATTGTGAAGAAAGAAACTCTTTATTTACTCATGATTGATATTATCTATAAAATCAAAATGTATTTTATATTTACAATGAATAGTCGTTTAATTGCAGGAATTTATATTTGTAGGATACAATCCTTATGTATTTAATTATCACAACTTTTTTTATACATGACACTGGTGTTTTAATTGTGCATGAAAAAATGTCTTCAACTTTTAAATAATAATAATATTATTATTTATGGTGTGATATTAAAGATTTTTTTATTTTCGGGAAATGTGAGCCCAAAGCATAATATGTGCGATTTAAACTTGCGACCTTAGAATGAGTGATTGCACTCGCAATCATTATGTTACTTACAGATAAGTGCGTTTGATATTAAAGATTTAAATGCTAAGTCGATGTTTGCTGGCCACTTTTAAGTAGGGTGTATGTAGGATTTACGCTAAATCCTGCTAAACGACAAATAATTGTGACGCAGGCCTCCTTAAATTTGGGATTTGATAAATCTTGTAGGAAGCTGAATTTACAAGATTTAGAGAAGTTGAAGTTTGTGGAAAGAGAGAAATTTAGTGAATCATATTGAAATTGACAAATATTTCTTCAGGATTTATTAGAATTTATCTATGAACATACCAAATAGTTTTTCAATATTTAACCCTTTCAAAATTTCATAAATCCAAATTGTAGAATTTAATAAATCCTATTTCAACAAAATCCTAGTTGCAACCAAATAACCCCTAAGTGTGGAAAAAATATTACATCCGGATGACCTTCAACGGGATTAGGTGTGGATGGTAGTATATAGATGTTATCAGGTAGTATTATAATTTTATTTTGATAAAATAACATCATAATACTATCTGATAATACTTAAATATTATTATCC